CCCCCCCCCCACACACACACACACACACACACTTCGAATGACCTAATGCCCTACATTCACAGTAAAATCCAAACTGTTTCTTGAACCACACAATTAAACATTAACTCTAACTGTTAGAGCATTTTTAAAACTAATTCCCACAGTCAGCCTGCAGTGAAACCATCTGAGCTCACAGAAATACACTGGCAGATAAATTCTTCAACATGACTGMATTTTCAATTTATTAACATAAAAATCACCAAAGCTTGTGTGTTTACATAAGTAATCCTCTCATGCCTTAAAACTACTGAGAGGTAATGATGCCACACTGCCTTGTTACCATTTGTAGCTCTGTGAATATGCTAATTATTTCATTCTTTATGTAAATTTTAAGGAAAAACTACTTCTGTTGCTTCCTGTGTCTTGCCTGCAGCAGAACAGCTAAACCTGTGTTCAAACTGCAGAAACCCTTCATGGCCTTGCAGGTCTTCATGTKTGTATTAAGCAGGGGTGTTTCTAGTTTTAGGAGATGCTGAAATCTGACTGGCCCCCTGAAGTGCCGCTCTCCTGTCACTCATCTGTCCTTTGCCCAAGGCCAAGAGTGATGATGATGGATGCAGTTCCATGTCCAAACACTAGTGGCTCACCCCAAGGCTGCAACCAAGGAGGTTCTATAGAACAAATGGAGTGCTCAGAAACCACGTGACCATGTGATCGGCTGGTGAAGCTAACAGCTAACTCAAAACGGGCAAGTCTGGATTTCCCATTACTGTACATGTTGGCAGCAAAGTAGAAAAAAAGGACTGAAGAAGTAGAAATCATAAAAAACTATTAATAATAATATTAACCCAATTATTATTAATATTTTACGATTTATATAATGTATTTAATGTTTTAAACAATGTCAGAAAAGCTGTTTGTGTTATGGATTTTTTTAACACAAAAGAGAAGCAGGAAAACATCTCATTTCACAACAAAAGTAAGCTGATTTGATCTTATTTAGCTCAACGTGATCTGAGCAGAACATAATATAACATTTTAAAATTAAAATAATCGTATAAAGTCAATGTAAACACTGTAATTTTTGAACTGGTTAACAAATATTAGCTTGTGGAGCATATATACATAGTGTAGCCCTCTGCTGAATCATGCTACAATTTATCACAAACTATTAAATATCACAAGCTGATTTGTCCTCTGATTAACATTTGGACCTACATAGTGTAAAATAATATTATAAATGTAAGTACTTTTAGGTTTCTGTTAGAGGAACCTGACCTGTTTTGAACATGGTTAGCTAATAGAAACAAGTTTCATCCTATAACMGGTATATAGAGAACATTTTCTTACTGTTGACTGGTACATATTTATTATTTATTTATTTATGACATTAAGAAGAAATAAATATACTTTATGATCAGCTGAAGTCATCATTTTTCATCTAATTAAAAAGTCTAAGTTACAGGGCTGACTTCAGGTCTGGTTTAGATCATTGTTATTTACTGTATAAATTCTATATTTTTCTGGTACATATCTGCTGTTTTAAATGATTGTTGAATGAAATTAACATAGATATTACTTTATTGAGGCGGCACGGTGGCTTAGTTGGTGGAGCGGATGCCTCTCAGCAAGGTCGCTGGTTCAAATCCCAGCCCGGGGACCTTTCTGGGTAGAGTTTGGTATGTTCTCGCTGTGCATGCGTGGGTTCTCTCCGGGTACTCCGGCTTCCTTCTACAGACCAAAAACATGACTGTTAGGTTAACTGATAACTCTAAATTGTCCCCAGGTGTGAGTGAATGGTTGTTTGTCTCTATGTGTCGCCCTGTGATGGACTTGCAACCTGTCCAGGGTGTACCCTGCCCCTTGCACTGTGACTGCTGGATATGGGCACCAGTGACACACGCAACCCTGAAAGAAAGAAGCGTGTATAGAAGATGGATGGATTAATTTATTGTAAAAACATGACAGATAATTTGTGAAACAGATCCAGTTCAGCTTGCTGTTTATCTATTAGCTGCTCAAAAGCTCAAATATACATTTTACTGTTTTTAAAAATACCCATTTTTTGTTTTTCCTTTTACTTGTATGTAAATCTGTGTCTCTTTATGCAAAAAAGGTGGGTGGTCCTTCCCCGGTCAGCTCCTCTTCTATTGGTCAACAGACAGGAAGGAGCAGGATCCATGTGCGGATTTACTGTGCATGCTTGTGCTGCCTCAGTTTAGATTAAAGTTTAAGGTTTAGCTAAAAACAAAGGCGAGGAGGACAACACTTACCTGGGCCTTTGAAGGTCAGTTTAAAAAAACGAGGAAAAGTTTTACTTTTTTAGTTTAATTGGTGCTTTTCAAGTGTATTTATTTATTTATTTATTTATTTATTTATTT